GCGTAACATCATTTCTTCAATCTGAGACATGAGCCATTAGTAGGACCTTACGCCTTCTCCTAACTTATCTCTGGACAAGTCGTAAAGTTGGCAAACGAAATCTAACTTCTTAGGCTTCCTGCATTGCTCGATGAAGTGTGCATGGGTCGAAACTCGCATCTCATCATATGGAGGTCGGGCGCCGCGCAGCTGTTGGGAAACGTCTGTCCATTCATTATAGAAATGATGTAAGTCAGCATCTGGCTTATTGGGGTACCTTGAAGACATCGCGCGAAATGCGATGTTGACCTAACTCCGATCTTACGGAACACCAATAGCAAATGGCTCGTATCATCTTGCGCCCCGTTAAGAGCCTCTCCTCATTCTGGGCGCAGTACTCCTTTCGACTGATCGGTTGAAGGAAGTGTATGTGATGATTTGACAGACTGCGATTCCTACGCATCTTGTTGAACTTCTCAATCAAACATGTGGCGGTCATGATGTCAAGACGTTGGAAGCAACCTGGGTTTCTGAGCTGTTTTCCACAGCAGGGCCCATAGCTTCTATGGTCCAACGCTGTGCTGCCTGAATCTCAGGAGATGATCCAGCAATAGCGCGGACTGCATGTATCTGCCACTCCCGTATGTTTGTAACATCAGGAATGTCCATCAGATCAACCTTCTGATTGTTTCCAACCTGTCTCCACTGGTCCAAGGGGGTACTCTCATCAAGGCCTCCCAGGTCATGTGGCCCTCCTGGGACCTGAGGTCCGCCGCGACCACCTCCGCCGCCTGGGGGCCCAGGACCCCCCGCCCCCTGGACTCCCCGGGGGCGTCTTCTCTGGCCGGTCGCGAATGGCGTCATTGAGTGCCGACGAAATCTCAGCACTTGGTGCGACGCTACTGCCATCCCCACCCCTGTCCTGCCATGCCCCGCCTGGCGGCGCAGCCGCTGGAGCGTGACCTTCGTTTCCGCCAGACGGCTTGGCCGCTGGCGGCCTCACAAGTCCGCCCTTGGAGAACGGATGATAATTGGCAAAAGTCATGTCATCGTTGGTTCCTATGAAAATCGCATTGATCGGTAAACCGTTCTCGGAGGTACTCGGCTTGGCCGGGCCTTCGATTGCAGGACCAGGAACAATATACTGGGGTCGCATGACAGGCCTTGCGGGCGTTTCCTGTGAAAGCATGGGCATATCAAATGAACTAAACTCGGGCAATTTGTCCTGTTCCTTCTCACCATACGGAAAGGACTCGGTGATGATAGTTTTGAGCTTCATCACCTCTCTCTCTGATGCAACTGCGCGTGCCAGAACCTCATCCCTCTCCCGAATGTTGGCAACTGACCTTCCTGAGCTCAGTCTAATTTGCCCCTCAGCTTGCTCATTCATCCGCTGAACATTAAGTTTATCAGCGCTACATTCATCAAGAAGCTTCTGCTGTTGAGCCCGAAAGTCATGATCAGCACTGTGTTTTTGCCATTGCTCGTCCCACTTCTTCTGTTCTGCCGGCATACTCTTTCTCTGAGTACATGTAGAACACCGTCTGGTGCTCATATTGAAGCGGTCCTTGCAGCATGGCAATCAACAAGGGGCGCATTCTCCAACTTTCGGATTAAAGCAAATCGAGCAACTCTCTTCATCAGCCCATTTCGCGGGCTGCGACCGCAGCCCTCACCTTCAGCATCGGCGGCATCACGCTTACCATGGTCGTCGAGCCAGACTGGGCCTGCGAGGACGTTGCGCCGGACGGCTGGGCCGCCGGCGATGGTCGTCTACTCGCCCCAGCCGGCTTGGCCGGTGGGTACGCGCTGTCGCCTAACTGCATGCGCTGAAGAGATGATCTGGCGTTTTCATACAATTTAAGCTCTTCTCGATATTGATTATTCTGATCAACTATCGTCGCAGCTACAATCTGGGTATTGGCCATTTCCAGCCTGGCAGTTTGAAGTTGTTCTTGGAGCTCCAGTCTTTTTTGTTCTGCCCTGGCTGTAGCGGCCCCCTCTCCTTCTACTCTCGCCGCCGCAACAGCGGCGGATGCGGTCTTGGCATCGACAGACTGACTGGTCGCTGTTACAACGGCCTGTCGTTCGGAGGCTATCATCTCAGCATATCTGTTCTCGGCTTCTTCTTCCGCGCGCTGCTTGGCAGCCGCGGTTTGATGGGGCATCTGTTCCACCAGTTCTTGTTCCCGCTCTCTGGCCGCCTGGGCCATAGCGAGTCCTTCAGCCCCGAACGTCTTCCGAACGTCCTCAATAACTGCATTCATCTCTTCTCGGTCCAGTCGGGCTTTCTCGGCCCTCTGGGCTTCACGGGCCAGGAATTATGGTTGAGTTTTGGCCTCGACAAATCTAGCCTGGCCCTGCGCAGCCCGGATGAGAAGGCACGAGCACTTGTGCTCCTCCATCGGAACGCAATCTCCACGCAACCACGGATTGCTAGAATTGGGGCACACGTCTGAACAATTCCTACATACTGGGCGCCTGCAGGCTCCATTCGGCCTGCGGGCTTTCCCCGGGCATCTGTTCTCTGCCTGGGGCGGGCAGTTGGGGCCCCAGTTCCAGCGTGTCTCGCGCGTGGATATTGCACTGTTGCTCCTCGAACTGGATCGAGCTCCAGATCTTGGCATATTGGGCCTTCCCCTGCTCGAAGCATTCGATCTGGGACGTGTGTGCGTGCTCTCTGGCGGTCTAGCCGCCTCTCGAAGCTCCTCATCCCTTTCGTCATGTCTAACCAACTCATTTAGCGAAGCCGGGGGGGTGATCATTATCTTCAACTACAACAGGTATCGATGGTTGCCAATCGCCTGTGGCGACGGCAGTTCGATGAAACCCTTCCTGAAGCGGGGAATCATTCAAGTCGTGATCCCCATTCCTTTGCTTCTTGAGTTGAGGAGCGGGAGTTCGTCCTGTGATATCCCGGTCATGTTCTTCGCTTGAGTCTGATACTCCGTTTCCACCTCGACCGCCTGGGGCGGCAGGTCACTCATCTCGGTGTCCGAGTCTGGCATTGCAGACGCTTTCCCAAGGGTTCCACGTGATCGTAGTCCATTGTATCCTGCCCAGGGGACCACCTCTCGTCTTGGACGGGGTGGTCTGCGTCAACTATCGAGGGCAAATCTCGGCCGAGTGACACTTGATAGTTGGCGCGCTCAATGTCTTCCTCCATGGAGTTTATGTCGTCTCCATCATCAAGCTGTTCATCACTATCTTGGACGGTCTGTCCGTTCAAGGCTATCGGGATGGGATAAGTCCCGCGAGCGTTTCCCCATCCGTCTGGGACGGCGGGGCACGCGCCTCTGGGCCCCTTCAGCTTCTCCCGACCCGCTGGCTTGGAGAGCGGCCGGCACAATAGCCCGCATGGCAATCGGGCTGGAGTTTATTGCATCCGAAGACTAGGCAATCAATGACGAGAATGCTCCTCGTCATATCTTTGCTGTTGTGCCGTCCCGCCTCGTCGGGTCTGGGGTCTGTTCACGATCACCGATCGGGATTCGAGAGGGTGCATCATGTCTTGACAAATCTACAACTTCTCCCCTGCTCCTTCCACGAGAGACCCGAGTGGCGATAGAAGAAGAGGGAAGGCGGCCCCTCCACGGGCCGCCGTCCTGTAGCTCTTGCCCGTCATGTTGTACAACTTGCGATCCGACGGGCAATTCGGCTGTCTCATCATAGCTCATCCCTGTTGCGACTTGGTCGCGGGCTTCGGCTGATAACCAATCTTTCCTCTGAGAATCGGGGTAAGATGACAAAGGAATTAAAGTCTCGTGTTGACTCTGCTCATTAGTTGAGGATACGGGATGAGACATCGATGAAACTACAAATAACCGCTAAGCAACTGCAATCAATAATGGGAAGGGAGGAGGCCGGCTGGCCGACGACACGACGACGACGAGGGGACGACCCCTCGGCGCGCGCGTGCAAGCCAGCACGCTCCTTTTCTATCCTGAGAGCATATACAGCTGCGGAACAGTGCCGCTGAGTCAAGGTGTGGCAAGGCAGGCAGCAAGAGAGGCAAGCGCAGTAAGAGGCGGAGAGGAGCATGTTTACCAACCAAGCGCAAGCCTGCATGATCCTTTTTCAAAGAGTGCTGGACCACCAGACTTGCACTTCGTAGTGCTCTGCGTGGGTGGACACGACCCAATGCGCCACCGCGCTTGCAGCGCAGTAGGTGTGCCAAATCCTGAATGCTTCTGAAATGCGCGCTGCCCTTGACAAGGCAAGGGTCAGCTCCCCTAGAAGAGCACCCCAAGCGAGACTCAATGATCAACAGGAGGAGAACGTCCCTGAAAACAAAAACGGCCTTTCAGCGTGCCTCGGCCCAGTCATGGACAGCGTTGCCTATTGACTATTGACGAAACCGCGCTGGCCCAGCCGCGCGAGCGGACCAGGGGTCGGGCGTTCATTTGCCGATGTTGCTGAAGGCAAGGACGGGGAAGGGGGGGCCCTGCCACCCGCCCCTCGTCGGACCCTGCGGCCCTGACATCCACGCCCTCGCCGCGGGAGGCCTTGGGTTAGTCAGCCTGGCGCCTTCAGGGCCGTGGGTATGGGAAAAGCCTGGCCTCTTGGCCCGCTCGGCGCCCTGCAGTTACCACGAGAAGGCCCCCTTGATGGAACGATCTGTTTCTACCTACAGGGGCACCGAAATGTGGGGGCCGTCTCACATTGTGTGCTGCTCGCTTTGTCAACCTTGCAACAGCCTATACCAACGCCCACATCTCCTCATCCCACACACCCCACTAAAGCTGCAAAATCTGGAGGTTGGAACATACACGATAAGTGAGAGCGGCCAGGCATGGCAGAGCCGACCAGAGATGGAAGGAGGTCGAAGTGACTGAGATGCTTGCCGAAGCTGGGAATTTGGAACCCTGGAAGCAATGGTGATCGGCGAACCCCAGCAAACCGTTTTGGTCTGCGGAGGGCGGGCAGTGGCAGGAACACGTCGTTGGCACAACCCCCCCCACCACAAGATGACAAACATGACATGGAGAGCAAGATTAGGAGATGGCGTGCACTAGTCGCGCCTGTGCGCCCACAGCATGTCCTCGGCGCCTTCCTCGAACGGGTCGGCCCCGAACGAAGACCCATCGCCCCACGCCTCTGCCGCCGACATGGTGGGCGACGACATGGTAGCGGCAAACCGTGACGAACAAGTATTCACAACCAACAACGCGTGGCAATCCACGAGACGTCAAAATCAATCCGGTGTGACACGTGAGCAAAATGTATCGGAACCTTGGGGGGAAATCGCAGAGAAACGGATACCCCCACACCGGGAATTGGGTTTCGGGTTCGTGTCGTGCGTGCGGGCGAAGCGAAGCCGCGTGGGCGGGCGGGAAACAAGAACCCTTTTCTGGCCAGGGCGCGGCGAAGAGAAAACCCCCTGCCCGGCGGGTGCCGAAGGTGTCCCACCGTGGTGTACCGATGGTGTCCCTTGGTGTCATGTGGTGCCCCGCGGTGTCCCGATTGGTGTCCCGATGGTGTCCTGGTGGTGTGTCGATGGTGTCTCGCTGGTGTCCCGGTAATGTCCCGATTGGTGTCCCGAGTTGTGTCCCGATGGTGTCCTGATGGTGTCCTGGTGGTGTCTGGATGGTGTCCCGGTGGTGTCCCGGTTGATGTTTCGATTGGATTCCCATGGGGGTTAAAACTCACAAGCTTGCGGGCGAGCGCCCCTGACCCAAGCAAGTGAGCCACACGCAGTGCCAGTAAAAGTCGTGAGACAAGGCCGGCACGAGGGGGAAGGAACGGGAAGAGGAACGAGGAGGAAGGAGGACGGGGACAGGACGAGCCAGTCGAGCCTCCGCTCAGGCCACCAAGCAGGATGCCGAGGCGGCCCCACGCTGTAACGGGGCAGCCCTCAATCCGGGTAAACACGTCACTTTCTGAGCCGCTAAAATCGTGAAGCGCGGCCGGGAGGAGGAGCAGGGAGGACGAGGAGGACGAGGAGGACGACCTGGTGCCGAAAGCTGGCCCGTCCGACCCCTCACATATACGACCAGTAAGCAAGCGTGGCGGGTCGTCTTGGGGCTGTCTGGACCCGCGTGGGGCTTCCGGAGCTTGCGGCTGGAACAGGGCCGCTCGCCAGAAAAAGACGCCGGCTGAACAGCTCGCCGGGGTGCAATCGAACTGGCACGAGAATTGTGAGACGGGGCCGGCACGAGGAGGAGGGAGGAAGGGAGGAAGCGGAGGAGAAGGGGGGAAACGAATCGCTTCACGAGCACCGGGTGCTCGGGGCGACTGCACGCGGCCTCCGGGCCCGGGAGAGGGAGGGGGGGGGGCAAGCAGGCAAGGCAGGGGGGCAGTCGGGCAGGCGGCGGTGGGGCGGGGGGGCACGGCCGCGGGGTGTGAGCCACCAGACCCCGCCGTTAGGCGCGCGTGCGCGGGGGCGGGCGGGGGCGGGTTGGGGGCTGGGGGGGAGCGACGGGGGCGCGGGAGGGGGCGCCTACGAGGCACCCTCCTCCCGGTCGGGCTAGCGCGCCTGCACCTGCCTGGCGGCGCGGCGCCACAGCTCCGTGCCGATGGCCGCGGCCAGCCGCTTGTACCGCCACTCCCCATCAGAGCAGCCACGCCTCCGCGATTGTTTCATCGCGAGAGTGCGGAGGATGGCTGTCGTCCGGGGGTGGGGGCGGCCGTAGCAGGTGTAGACCAGCGGCTGGTATGTGATGTTCTGCCGCGCCAGAACATCGGCGTGCGCCGAATAGTACTCGACCTTACGCCGGTGCATGGTGGCCGCGCAGTCCGGGCCGGCCGCCGCGGCGTCAGGCGAGGCGATGCCCACGTCGAGGGCCAAGAGGCCGTTGCCGAGGGCGCCGGTCAGCACGTCGGCTGGTCGGAGGCGCGTTCCTGGCACCAGGCCCGGGGCCTCGAGTTCTGCTCCTGGGTCGCAGACTCTGGCCGCGGCGTGCACCTGGCGCGCCACCGCGTGGTGCCCCCGTGTTGATTCCGCGCGACAGCAGCAGAGGGCGTGCGACCCTGCCCGGTCGAGGACCGCCTGGCCGCAGAGGCCGCGCGGGACTGGGGCCAGCGGCCCGGCGGCGCCCACGCGCAGGCGCAGGGCCTCGGTGAACTCGGGGCTGTCCATCACGGGGCCCTTGTGCTTCGAGAGGTTCCAGAGCCAGGAGTGGTCGCAGTCGGAGTGCTCGAGGTCGTCGAGCCGCCGCAGCGCCGCGTCGTCCCCAGCGTCCGCGCGCCTCTTGCGAAGGTCGTGCCGTCCCTGCTCGTCGAGGTAGCGAAGTAGAACCCGCTGCAGGTGCAGCTGCCGCGTGCGCGGGGCGGAGTTGGGGTACTCGTTGTCCTCGTCCTCGTCGAGCGGAAGCAAGTTGCGGCCGAGGCCCCGGGGGCGGCCGCGGCGCTCCTGGGGCGCGGCGGCGGGCGCCTCCGCGTGCCGGTTGAAAAGGGCGGCCCAGCGACCCTCGGCTTCCACGGCGGCCTCTGAGAGCGCGGCAACGAGGAGGCTGCCGACCGTGGGCGGTAGGCTGAAGACAAGGCGGGCCGCGGCGTCGTCCGCGCGCCTGTCGTACTCGGCCATCATGACCCCTGCCTCGCCCAGGCCCCTCTCCGGGAGGTGCGTTGCCATCTCCCGCGCGCGAGGCCTCGAGCACACGCGGCTGGCCACGAAGGCCGCGAGAGACACCTGCGAGGCGGTCCGCATGCCAAGGCCTCCTGTGCTCACGCCTAGCGAGCACTGCTCCCGCGCCGCGTCGGGGAGGTCGCCGCCTGCGACAAGCTGCACGGCTTCGCGGAAGTCGTTGTCGAATTGCTGCAGGTGCTCGTCCTTCACCCTGTCCCCGTTGAGTCGTAGAGCCGCGTGAGCACCAGTTCCGTCGCGGCGTGTCCGACCTCCAGCAGGGCTAGTCGCGTGTCGCGGGCCTTGGTTAGCACGGCCTTGACCTGGTCGTCGAGAGCGTCGGGGCTGCCGAAGGGAGCGCCGAGTGCCAGGGTGGGGCCCTCTGGGGCCAACGCGTTGCAAGTGGTCCGAACGTATTCCGTGTCCCAGCCGTCGTAGCGGTGCCGCTCGCCGTCAGGGCAGAGGAGGCGGCAGGAGCTTTTGGCGGCGCCGGCAGCCACAGTCCCGCGGGCGCCGCCGAAGACCGCGAGAGTGGCGTCGAGGCTGCGCAGGAAGGGATCCAGCGCGTGCGGGCGGACGAATACCTGACCGTCGTCGATAAACCACTGCTCGCAGAAACCCGGAGCGGCGGCCCCTGCAGCGGGCGGGCCGGCGCGGGGGGCGCGAGCGGCAGCAAGCGCGAGGCAGGCCTGCGCAGTTCCGAAGCCGTCGCCCTGTTCGGCGCCGCGGTCCGTGGTGAAGGTCTCGCCGGAAGGGAGGAGCGTCTCAGAGGGTTCTTGCTGGTGCCAGGAGGTCCAGGCCGCGATCTCCGGGAACTCTGTCGGGTCTATCGAAGACCGCATCGTGTCCCACTCCACGCTGCCGAACATGTTCACGAGGTCCACGTCCAACGCCACCAAGGCGGGGATGGCACCTTGGGCGGCCAGCTCCTCCACCGTTCCGCGCCAGTGCGCCATGGCCTCACAAGCGCCCGGCACGCCCACGTCCCACTGGTGGGCGGCGCGGAAACGAGCGCGGAGAGCAGGGAGGTGCCGTTTGGTGTAGCGCTTGGCAAAGCTCGTGCGTATAACTTCGCCCATCTTGATAGGCCTTGGTTTGCCGTTGCGCTTCCTCTGCCACATGAGCCGCGCGCGGGTGATCCAGCGCATGGGCCCCTGCAGTTCGCCGCCCCGCATGGCCGAGTGAAGCCGCCCCAGGGCCCGCCGAAGGGCGGCTGCTTCGCGCTGCCGCGGCACGGAAAATAGCTCGGTGAGGTGCTCCGGCCGTGCGCCAGAAGGTCCAGGAGCGGTGGGCTTGCTCCATCGCACACCATCGAGGGGCCCACCGTCGGCCGAGGCGTCGTCGGGATCGTCCTCCTGTTGGGCGCCGTCGGCGGGGCGGTCGGCAGGGGGACCGGGCGCTGGCGCTCCGGGAGGCGGCTGCGGCCCACTCAGCGCCGAGTCAGGCCGCCCTGTGCGCGGCAGGAGCTCCTCAGCGCGCGCCCTGTCCTCGGCGGCTGTGGTTGGCAGCATGCTGGAGGTCAGAGAGGTTGCCGCTTTCCTGTAGGCCCCCTCGGCGGCGAGATGCCTAGCTCGCCTCCCGCGGCGTTCCGGGTCGTCAGCCCCTTGCGGTCGGCTGCGCCCCCGGGCGCGGTCGATGGCGATTCGTTGCTGCTCCAGCCTGTCCAAGAGTGCTGCAAACTCACCGCCCTCCCACATGGGGGCCCGGGTGCCTACCTCGTCGGCGGCCGCCATGCCCTGGGGGACCGAGCCAGGCAGGAGCTTGGAGCGAGCCTCCTCCAGGGCGGCCCAGGCGGGGTCACCATCAGCGCTTCTGCTCCAGCATTGCCGCGTGATGCGGAGAAGGCGCAACCGGCAGCTGAGGGGGATATGAATGACCGTGTTGTGCGAGGGTCGGCGGACGCGAACCGTGAAGTCCAGCGGCAGCGCAGGTGCCCCAACCACGGGCGAGTCGTCAAGGTGGGCTCCCTCCGCGGCCGGCGCCGCAGCAGCGGCTGGCCCGTCGCCAGCAGCAGCTCGGGCTTGCGGCGGTGCGCCAGCGGAGGCGGGGCCGGCAAGAATGTCCCCGACGACGGGGGGTCGGCTGGGCGTGGTCTGGCGGCAGCGAGTGCAATGCCGCTGCCCAAGGCAATGGATTCCCGCTGGTGTCCTGGTGGTGTTATTGTGGTGCCCCGATGGTGCCCCAACGGTGCCCCACGGTGCCCCATGGTGTTCCGATGGTGTCCCGATGTTGCCTCGATGGTGTCCCAATAATGTCCCGCTGGTATGATTGTGCCCCGATGGTGCCCCGACGGCGTCCAGATGCCTCCAGGATCGCTGGAAAGATCGATCATGAGATTTGGGAGGAGATCGAAGTGATCCGAGGACTGTGACCATTACCAGCAAAGTGGTCGCAGTCATTCCCAGCATCGCTGATGCAAAACAGCAGCGCCGCCGCCAACATCATCATCATCACCGCCAAAGTCTGGCTCGAGCACTTCGTAGGAGGTTTGGGCCGACCACTCCCTTCGCACTTGTCGCACGGCTCTGCCAGCTCACATGCCCCCGAACGACGCGCAGACG